CATGGCACAATGCAGGTTTCAGCAATGCCTCTACTGAACATCTTTGAAGATGAGGATTTAAAAATAATTTGGAATAACTGCATTTATGTCAGGAAATAACATGGATACAGTCATGGTGAGGCTCTAAAGGAGTTTCATTCAGACAGCACTCATCACCTCTTGGTGGTTCAGTAGTCCATGGGAGCATGGGATCTTTGATCACCCCTCAGTGTGTATAGCAACAGTCAATTTAACTAAAACTAAATAGCAATCTCACATGAACTCCATAGGAGCAGCATGGTTTGAACTCACTTTTATCATGTTTTTTYCCCTTTCATTTGTGACTAATACTTAATCTAGGAGAGTTCATCTGATCATTTTCCAAAGGTTATGTTCACTCAAGTTAAAGAATTAGGTAGGATATAAAAATCTGGGGGATGATTTTAATAAACTGTAGTCAGTATACTTTGTACACTCACTTTCATCTTACTAGTGGAATCATATACACTTAACCAAGAGATAAATCATTACTTATTTAGCTGAAAAATGGAGTTCAGCACAGACAGGGACACTTGAGCTAAGCAGCAGCTTCTACTGAACCCAGTCCAAGTACATTTCCTTCTTGGCCTCCTCTCTCCTCTCTGTTTCTGTTTGTGCAGTATCAGTTAATCTCTTGTAGTTTTTTCTTCTGGTATTCTTTACTATCTGAAAGAATGCTCCCTAAATTAGCTTTTTCCTCCCATAAGGAGTTATTCTCAGATAAAGGTAAAGAGGTAGGTGCATGATTTATGCTCCTAAGGAACAGAAGGAATGTTACTGCTTGAAATATCATTCTGCAGATTATTCAATTACCCTAATGCATTTCCTTCAGAGCTCTTGAAAGAAATATACCCATGTGACATGAAACACTTGCCCACTTTACAAGAACAGTCTTCCACAAAGAAAATAAACCACTTCCAATCTTGTGGGTTTTGCAACGATGCTGAAATGCTCATTTGCTTTGTTTTACAATAAAAGATTAAGATGCAGTAGRGCATAGGTCTCAAATCCCCTCCCTTCCCTCAATGCACATCATCAAGCAAATTGCAGCAGGATATAGGAAGGGTGAAGACACCCCTTGCAAGGACAARGTATCTGCCACTCCTGAACCCAGACCCTGCTGAAAGGTGCTGTGGAGCTCTGACCACAGCTTTGAAATATAGTGTGGGTGGGAATCACCACTTGGGACAGCAGATACGAATCTGGATCAGTCTGTTAACAGGGCAGGGGTCCAAAACCGCATGTTGATTTTTCTGGCCTTTACCTGTCTCAGTTGTACATAAAGGGAATTAACTAATGTACAGACATTATTCAACCTTTACAGCTGTTTAGGCATCTCCTTTTCCATTAGTGTTTTTCTTTGGTGTCCAAAAGCCATTCTAACTAGCAAGATAGGCTTTCTGCAAGTAATCTAACACAGCAGCAGCACTCAGCAGGAACAGTGACTTCACCAGAGAGCAAAGCAAAACCTCTTTGGAGCTTAAATGAAACCTTTAAAAGAAGATTTTAAAACAAAAGATTATTTTCCTTCAAGGTATAAGGATGAGACCAAGGATCCAACACTCAGGATCAATTTCCTGATGAGGTAAAAGAGGAGATAGGTTTAAGTTCATATCTCTTAAGGGAAGAGGAGGACTGCCCTCTGCTACAGGAAGGAAAYTACATTGGCCATGCCATTTCTTTCTGATGTTTCATAAAGTCTTTCAGGAKTATGGAAATGATCACATACACTTAYATAAATACACTTACAGAAGAACAATATTTTGCAAAAACAGTATATGTATTGTCAATACAGTAAATACCTACATATTTTTATTTCTAAACCTACCTCACATGCTACAACTAAACCACTGCAAGAGAAAATTTGATAATTGTAACCAGTAAAGCTGAAAGTTGTAAATACCTTGGAAGTTTGCTTCAAGTTTAAAGGAGAAGCTGGAAAGGAACTCAATGCAAAGCAGTTTATCGTGTGAAGGCCACACATGGAGAATTCCAGGAACATTGTGTCCAATTGACTCTTGCACACAAATCTTCCAGATTTTTAACAGGAATTATTAGGAATTCTAGAAGTACTTTTAAATAATATTAAGCAATGCAAAGACGTGCAAAATGAAATAACAGACACTGACATTTAGCAAAAAGGCTGCAGAGATGAAAAATGCAGAAAAGATAGTGTGGCTCATTACTTCTGATGTCTTCCTTAAAAGATATGATTTATTGCACCTAAAAGGATAATTAACAAATCCAAGATATATTAGTATCTGGCTGCAAAAAAAAAAAAAAAAAAAAAAAAAATCTTCCAGAGCTGTATCCAAAGTACTTTTATCTCTTATGCTGGCAATGCCACAGGATTCTTTTTTTTTTTTTTTTGTCTGTTCCATTTTGCTTGCTCACACTTTAGGTTTCCTGGAGCAAGGATCTTTACTTTTTTGGATAGCCACTATTGGTATTTTACCAGTAAATACCTATATCCTTTCATTATTATTGCTCTTCCAGGTATTTGTTTGCTCTGTGCAGCTGTACTACTCACTTCTGCCTGCCAACCAAGTGTCTCCAGAACAGCAGTAATTGTCATTACCAGCACTATTCTTTAGTATACATATTCTACAAAATGGRATAGGTTCTGATAGTTGTAACATTGCTGCAAATCTGGAGCAATTTTATTAATTTTATTAATCACAATCACAATGTGCGGCAGTTCTTTCTCATATTCTCATCTACAACAACTGCTGAAGAACAGTATAGCTTTTCAGCAAAATGGCAGGTATTTTACACATCTTATTCTATACAGAGAGGCACGTTTTAACCATGCCACTATTTATATGCAATTGCTGACTCTGAAGCAAGTGACCTAATTCATTGTAATAGAATGCAATGCCCAAAGAGTCTGACTCAAAGCTGCCACGTACTTTTATGGACTGGACCAGAAAATGTTTCAGGTTTCTTTCATCAGTTAATGTCTTGAAAAGTTTTATTTTTCTTCTTTTTCAAACTGAACAGGGAGACAGAATTTTCCAAAAGCGGGGACCACAAAAYTGCTTCGCTTTGGAAAGAAGGAACAAATAAATTAGCCTATATGTTTTGATTTATATTGAGTACTAATACTTTTAATATATTTTGCAGTGTTTAGAATATGAAAACATGAGTATAAGAGCATTTAAGAAATCATAGGAAAAAAAAGACTAACTAGAAAATGTGACATCTTTTAGTGTCCTTATATAACACTCCACTGTTGCATTTATTTTCTAGGGATACAGGTAATTCATTTCTTAAAGAAATAAATGCACTTAGGATAATTGCTGGAGACCATAAAATGTACAGAAGGGGCTGCTATTTAATCTCATTTTATCATTWAGGATTTTCGGAAAAGTCTGGTTTAGTAAGGCATGAACGTGGATGTTTTTCTTAAGCTCTGCTGCTCCACACCTGTGTTTTCTGATGGGCTAAGATGTCCAGAGCAGCAGCTCTCAGCCCGCAGTCACAAAACACTGAGTGTCTAAGGACCAGGTCTGTTGGCTATAAAAAAGGCAAGTAAGACTAGATAAACTGTTGTCATCTGGCTTAATTTTTTCTACAAAAATCGAAAAAGACTGGCTCAAGTTAATAAAAAGCCAGACTATGAACGGCATTCTATGTATTTTGACATGATTAAGGGCTGACTTTGTAAATGTTGTTTGGAGAAAAATGTTCATGCTGTTAAGACCTGGTGTTCCCTCTCTGCCATCTCTCCTCCAATGCTCTGGCTTTGGTTCCTCTTCATTTTTTYAGTCCATCTTCTGCAGGCCATTTCTCAACATTCATGTTCACCAAGATTAGGTGACCTTTATGGGGAAGTAGGTCACAAAATATCTCCCAGAGGCTGGAAAGACTTCTAGAAACAGATCGACTGTTATCATGTATCATGAGTCCTCTAGTGATGGGCTATGCTCAAAAACACCAAGCATACTGTGTCGTCATATGCTGTTTTTTATTTAATCAATTTAATCCATTTAATCAATAATTAAGTCAATTATTCTATAAGGGAAGGGAAGGGAAGGGAAGGGAAGGGAAGGGAAGGGAAG